TGTGTGCATGTGTGTATGTGAAGAAGTGTGCCTGCACACGAAAGCTCATTCCAATAACAGACTTAGTTGGTCTCTAAGGTGCTACTGGAAGGAATATTTTTTATTTTGTTTCGACTACGGCAGACCAACACAACTACCTACCTGTATCAAGACAATAAAGCAAACCAAAAGCACTTGACAGCAACCCTTTAGGAAGTGTTGAAAAGCAAGGAGGAATAATTGTACAAACCAATTCACTGTCTCCTCAAAATACACAATTCTCCCACAATAGGCTTCCTTTACAGCATGTGATGGAGAGAATTGTTATATGATGGCTGTCATTGTAGGTGCTGAGTAGGTACACACTTGTTTAAATTATTAGAAAATCCTCTAGGTGAAAGAAGGTGCTGCGTTTGAAATTAAATTTACAAAGACTTTTGTGTGAGCCAAAACAGGCTTGCTGACACTTTTAGCATGAAGATACGGATTTCTGAGCTGTGTAGGTCAACCAGGGTAATGCTGAAAGAGCAAAGCTATGGCCACGACAGCTGCAAATCTTCTGTTGTTACACTGCTCACGTGAAAATACCACTTTAGGTGAGAAGGTGCTTTTTGCGTTTAGCTACTTCAGTAACATCTTAGGCTGGTAAGTTACTGTTTTGTCCTGGCTCAAATATTAGTGTGTAATTTAATAAACAAAGAACACAGTGTTGATTAGGTGGCAATGGATGGTTATGTTTCAGAAAAATATACAGCAATCCAGACCCAACGTTGAGAGGAGAGACTATCTAAAGTATTTTAAAAGTTCATGTTAATATTACAATTAAAATTCCACCTATATACTGAAGCAGTCCTTCATTCAGGCTACAGCTGCATGTTGTCCTGTAGAAAACATTGCAAAAACAGTGTGTTTCTGACTGCCAGCTGTTTCCCCCAAATCCATTATTTATCTGATTTTCATTATAGTAAGGAAAATAAATTGAAATATCCACTAAAAAGTGTACTAGAGTGTTGAAGAAGAATAGCTTATGGAATCGTACAACAGTACAATTGTTTTATAGCCATTTACTGCTGGCTATGAAGAAAGATGCCATCCTGTGGATTACTAAAAAAAAATAAAAAAAAATAGCAAAGCAGAATTAACAAGAAGGTATTGTTTGCTTGGAGCTCAGTGAAATGTATCATTGTGCCAAAAGGTGCATAAAATAAAAGGCCGCAACATTCTTAATTTTACTTCTGGGAGCATAAATGCATTGCAGAGTCTCTACATGCTTCCCTGAGTGCCAGTGTGGTCCAGCACAATGCAGTCAACTAACAGAATCATAATAGCACTGTCAGGAGGATGAATGAGATGGAAGAAATGTTTCCTTTGCTGAGTTTATGAGCTGATCTGCATATTCAGAACGAGTATGTAACATAGCTGCTGAAGATGGATGGGAGTTTTTTGAAAGTGGGATATTGAAGGCCCCAATGCAGACAATTCCAACAAGAAAGAAAAGTGGGAGGCATCTAGGGAAACCGGTGTGGCTGCATAAGGAATTTACAGATGAGCTGAGATGTAAGAAGGGCGTGTATAAGAAATGGAAGAAAGGGGAAATACCAAAGGGGTAGCCTGCCAACCTAACAGTTCGAAAGCACGCAAGTAGATAAATAGTAAATATAGAAATAGTGCAAGTAGATAAATAGGTACTGCTCCGGCGGGAAGGTAAACGGCGTTTCCGTGCGCTGCTCTGGTTTGCCAGAAGTGGCTTAGTCATGCTGGCCACATGACCCAGAAGAGCAAGATGAGTGCCGCAACCCCAGAGTAGACCACAACTGGACCTAATGGTCAGGGGTCCATTTACCTTTACCTAGCCAGCAGTTGCAGGGGGGATGTTAGCTGGGTCCAGCTAAGAATGAACTCAAGCTTGCAAGAGAGGTTAAAAATAATTTTTAAAAGCTTTCTTTGGCTATGCTTGAAGCAAGAGGAAGATCGATCAACTAGCAGGTTCACTGAATGGAAATGGAGAAATGTTATTGGGTGACAGGGAGAAGGTGAAACTGCTGAACACCTACTTTGCCTCTGTCTTCACCCAAAAGGGAAGCGATTCCCCACCTGGTGATAACAGAATAAATGATGTAAGGAGGGAGCTGCAGCCCAAGACAGGAAAAGGTGGTAAGGGAACACCTAGCCAATTTGTTTTCTCATTCTCTGCAGGGTAGGACTTGAAGCAATGGCTTCAAGTTACAAGAAAGGAGATTCTGACTTAACATCAAGAAGAACTTTCAGACAGAGCTGTTTGGCAGTGGAACTGACTCCCTCAGTTCCAGACTCTGTTTTCTCTAAGGTTTTCTTGAAGGTTTTTAAGCCGAGGTTGGGTGGCCACCTGTCCTGGTTGCTTTAGTTGAGATTCCTGCCTTGCAGGGGGTTGGACTAGGTGGCCCTTGGGGTCTCCATCATTTTATGATTTTATGAAGACTGCAGGTGGGTGACCATAATGCATAATGAATGCTGCCCTGCCTCAGAAATTCCCTAATTTTTTATTTCTTTTTAAAATGCACATTATGCATTTAAAATTTCTTCTTTTTTAAATGCACATTTTGAAGAAAGCTAGACAAAACTAGACTTTCATTTGGCTATTTTTCTGAGTGTATGGAGGTTTCTTTTTCTTAGATGAAGGGGGTCTGCACTTCTTCCACCCCCATTTTGAAAGAGGGTTGCACTATGTGATTCTACCAAACATATAACTTAAGTATCCTGGCTTAAACATCTCAATGGATAATTATGAACTTTTGAAACTTGCAGAATTGTGACAAACTGTTAGTTGAATCAATCTGTGTTGCAAACTAGTATGAAAATGCATTCGGAGCAGGAAGCATTCAGTTCAGTTCACATTTAATGGTGAACATACCGGGATGGCATGGGGATGAGGGACCAACTCCCTTCTCTTGCGGGGGCCCAATTAGTGCCATTGCCTTCCGTTAAGAGTTTGGGTGTAATCCTTGACGCCTCCCTTTCCATGGAGGCGCAAGTTACAGCAACAGCCAAGGTGACATTTTTCCACCTTCGCCGCATCAAGCAGTTGGTCCCTTACCTTTCCCGCCCCGACCTGGCCACAGTGATCCATACGATGGTCACCTCCAGGCTTGACTACTGTAATTCGCTCTATGCGGGGATGCCCTTGAAGCTGTCCCAGAAACTCCAGCGGGTGCAGAATGCTGCAGCAAGGCTCCTCACGGGGTCTCTGCCATGGGAGCATATTCACCCAGTGCTTTTCCAGCTGCACTGGCTCCCGGTGGAGTACAGGGTCAGATTTAAGGTGCTGGTTTTGACCTTTCAAGCCCTTCGCAGCCTAGGACCCTCGTACCTACGGGACCGCCTCTCCTGGTATGCCCCACGGAGAGCCTCAAGGTCCATAAATAGCAACACCGTAGTGGCCCCGGGCCCTCAGGAAGTTAGATTAGCTTCAACCAGAGCTAGGGCCTTTTCAACTCTGGCTCCGGGCTGGTGGAACGCTCTGCCTCATGAGACCAGGGCCCTGCAGGATCTGATTTCTTTCCGCATGGCCTGGAAGACAGAGTTGTTCCACCTGGCCTTTGGCTTGGAGCCAATTTGATTCCCTCCCTCTCTTTCTTTTTTCTTTTCCTTCTACTGCGATGAGGCTACATTTTAATACAGTGGTGCCTCGCAAGACGAAATTAATCCGCTCCACGAGTCTCTTCGTCTTGCGGTTTTTTCGTCTTGCGAAGCACGGCTATTAGCGGCTTAGCGGCTATTAGTGGCTTAGCGGCTTAGCGGCTATTAACGGCTTAGCGGCTATTAACGGCTTAGTGGCTTTAAGAAAAAGGAAACAAACTCGCAAGAACTCGCAAGACGTTTCGTCTTGCGAAGCAAGCCCATAGAGAAATTCATCTTGCGGAACGACTCAAAAAACGGAAAACTCTTTCGTCTAGCAAGTTTTTCGTCTTGCGAGGCATTCGTCTTGCGGGGCACCACTGTATTTTAATGTTTCAATATTTTAATGTTGTACTTTAATTTTGTTTTTAAGTTGTAATCAACTTGTTTTTATTATTGCTTGTAAGATACTCTGAGCCCGGCCTTGGCTGGGGAGGGCGGGGTATAAATAAAAATTATTATTATTATTATTCAAATTTTCCAAAACAATGTGAGAACTGAGCACAGACATATTTTTAAAATTCACAGTTCTCTGAATTTTGCAATGTTGTTCTCCAGCTGAGCAATGTATACAGAAGTATATAACCTGGACTCCAGATACAATATTACAAAAAAAAAAAAAAAAAATCCCACCATTCAACAATGCATTATATTTGTCTTGATCAGAACCTGCTTCATAATCCAAATTCAGAAAAGGGGTGGGAGTGCCCACCTGTCAGTCATCTGTTGTCATAGATGATGTCAGGGGATTTGACATCACTTTAGCAAAGTGCTGCTAAAAGCAAGCTCCTCCCCCACTTCGTTTCAGCAGCTGTTTCACAGCAATGAATGGGCTGAGGAAACAAAGGGGATCCCCTCCCACCAAGCAGGATTGGCCTCCCTTTGCATTAGCTGACGCGGGTGTGTGTGTGTGTGGACCTGTGTAGTCCTGTTCAGTTCCTGCTTTGTGCAATGCTCCCAATAACAAGCTGCTTGTCGGGCCCTTTGGAAACGGCTCCCGTGGCCAACCCCTCCCCCCTTGTAGCCAAGCCCCTGCATGACATCAGGGGTGGGGTGTTGTGGGGTGGCTTGCCCCAGAAGCAGCCTTGCGGGCCAAATAAGGAAGCCTGGTGGGCCAAGATTTCCATGCTAGGAAAATGGCTGTCCTAGAACTTCTTATCATTCTGGGATGTGCAGAGTGCAATGCAACTTCTAGGATCGTTCTTCCAGGTGGGATAGTGTGGCAGAAGCAGCACAGTGTGGCAGTGAACCAAGCAGGTTGCTTTCTGTGGGGATCAAGTTTCCCACTGGATTACTCTTGTGAAAGTGGTCTATAGATTCTAAATAGCCCTAGTACTAAAAGGATTTTGTGTTGTTTTTTCCCCTAGGCATTTCCTGGAAATTTAAATTCTGACAGTGTGGTCCGGCATGATTTACAGCATCCAGTTATCGCCCGCTATGTACGGATACTTCCATTGGACTGGAGTGGAGAGGGTCAAATTGGCCTGAGGATTGAAGTTTATGGTTGTCCTTACTGTAAGTTCTTTTAACTTCTGCTATGTCATTTTATTTCTGCTTTCCTGAAGCTTTCTTGTGTAATGGTATTTAGCCTAGTATAATCCAAGCAAGTGTGATCTGGATGCAGGATTTGGGTTGAGTGTAGTTACATTGCATATGTAATATATGCAAACTATAACATATGTAATAAGAGACCTGAGGTAGCATAGTGCCTCAGCTATGAGCTAAGAAGTTCCTGAATCAAGTGCTGACTTCTTTTCCGATATAACAGTGGCCTTGGGGCCAAGGCAATATATGATATCTCAGCCTCAACCCTCCTTTTGCATTATGGGGAAAATTCCACTGAACTACCTAACAGAGTTTAGCTGGTCAATACGTAGGAGGTCTCCTTCGTCCACCAACAGAGGGACTTTAGATACAACACACCTTGTCATATTGTGGAAACCTGGACAAACTGCTTTAATCTTAACTGTGGTTAGTTGAAGCAAGTGATCTTGAAATTAAGGTGCCTGATAGTTTTGTTCCATCCACCTGTGGAGCAAACTGACTCATACTCTATAGAACATAACACAGCAGTCAGATATCACACTTCTCTGAATTTTGCAATGTATTTTATTTGCACAAGAATAGCTGAAATTCATGAATTATTACTTAAAATAAGGCCCGAAGATGTATTTCAATGCAATTTTTGTATGTTTAAAAATAATATTGCTGCTTTATGTGGAAACAGGCTGTAACAGATCAATGACAAAGCAGAATGCTACATCCCTACTTCAGGCTATAGTTTAGGAAGCTGGCTTGTTCTAATTAACTATAAACCAGAAGTAGGGGTTTTTTTTGGGGGGGGAGGAACTGGCAGTGTTGTTGTTGGACCCTCCTTTTTCACACATTGAGCAGAATGTGAAGAGGATAGGAGTGGAAACCGCTGGTCTTATCCTCCACTGATCACTGAATGTGTGGCCATTCCTCCTGTTGCATCCCCATCCACAGGTCCCCATAGGGGTTGTGACACCTATGCTGTGCTGATCCTAGAAGTCCCACCACCCCACTGGCTGCATTTGTGGAACTAACAGCCTATTCTCACATGCCAGCTAGCAGTGGTGGTAAGAGTGGGCCACATTTGCATCATGCGCTTCTTCCAAGGAGTGTGCAGAGATGTCTCACAACAGTGCAAGTGAAGTAGGTTATGCTGAGAGGGAGCCTCACCCAATGATATGAACCTGAGATGTGTACATATAATGCCAGCTGCTACATCTTAATCTGGGGTAACAATAGTGTGGGAATAACTCACATATGCTTCCCACCCAGAATCTGTAATATCTGCAGGTGGGCAGGGCTAATGAAGTGCTCCCATCTCATGAATGGAAACATTGCTCGAACAGAAGGAAGGATGATATTTGCATGACAGGTAACCATACCACTGGGCCTGCCCCACCCCCACATGGTTCTTTCATGCTCATCTTACTAGAACATTGTGACATGATGTTATGGAGTGATAGGTCTCATGCTGCTGCCAGGAAGAATGTACACCAATGCAGTGCTCCAGCAATATTATGTCAAATGTTATTCACTTTTCCTAATAACTGCAAAGATAGGCTTGCCATACATCAGTATAATTCCCGACATGGCAACACTATGGGAAAAGCAGCAGAAACATCTCCAAAAGCTTAAAATCACCAGTTTTCTGAGAGGGTAAGTTTCTAAAAAATACTTCAACAACTTTGCGGGTTTCAGGAATTTTACTTTTTGAAATATGGCAACCCTATTCAAAGAGTCCTAGACGCCCCCTCCCCAAAGCCTGGATTATGGCAGCATGTAGTATTGTGGGTTGGAGAGGAAACCTGCCGTGGGGCAGGAGGTTGATGAGAATTACTGAAGAGACATAGACCATCTGGAGGGGATATACTGGGACAGCTTTTCTTCACTCAAAAGACACAATCCAACTGAAACCCTTTTAAATTAATGGAAAGTTAATGTTCTCTAATCTGTTGCCTATTTTGCAAGCATAGTGTTGTTGACTATTTAAGGTTATCACTTTTAAAAGTGAACACTTTTAAATAATATATCACCACCTAGTCTCCTGACTGGGATGCGGGTGGTGCTGTGGTCTAAACCACTGAGCCTCTTGGGTTTGCCGATCAGAAGGTCGGCAGTTCGAATCCCCGCGACGGGGTGAGCTCCCGTTGCTCGGTCCCTGCTCCTGCCAACCTAGCAGCTCGAAAGCACGTCAAAGTGCAAGTAGATAAATAGGTACCACTCCGGCAGGAAGGTAAACAGCATTTCCGTGCGCCAGAAGCGGCTTAGTCATGCTGGCCACATGACCCAGAAAACTGTCTGTGGACAAATGTCTGTTGCCTTGGCCAGTAAAGCGAGGTGAGTACCGCAACCCGAGAGTCGTTCACTACTGGACTTAACTGTCAGGGGTCCTTTACCTTTACCTTTAGTCTTCTTACTAGCCCCCCTAATTTGTTTGCTGTTAAACCAGTTGCATAATGAATCCTGAAAATGGGCTAAATAGAAATTACAGAAACTGTGACTCCCTCATCCAGTGATGTCAAACGGTTTTATTATGTTGGCACATAAGCAGAAAGCATAAACCCATTCTGGTAAAGTCAATTTTGCCTGTAAGTACTGAGGTTGCAGTTGCAAGGTGTTCAATCCTAGAAGGTGGAGGGGAAGTAATAGCAGTTCAGATCCAGAGACTCCATACAGGAAAATGGAAGAAAGGAGGAGTTAGTCAACTCTACCCCATGATTAATTAGAACCACCTAGAGATTAATATATATGGAAATGTGTATTTCAACATTGATAGGAACACATTTTTCATGCATTTGGGTCCATTCTTGGAGCCAAGGACCATATCACAACATCTGGGAAAGTGCAAAATCTGAAGGAATTACACCCCTGCTCTATATATTAGTCCGGAAGGTATGAAGTAGGTATACATTCACTTAAAAATGTGGACCAAACAGATTTCTCTTCCATCGTTTTCTGAAGTCACACATAAAGTTGCTGCAAAAAAGGACTCTCTTTCTTTAGTTAATATAAATCATAGGTTTCCCTTCATGCTGTAGCAGGCTATTTTTCAAAGCAGGGATTCATATAAATTACAGCAAAACCCAGCTTTGTGTCATGACATTCTCTTTCCTGGCTTCTTTCTACCATTTCAACCACTGTAAATAATACTCCTAGTTAGTCACCATGGAAAAGGAGAAGAGGTTTCTGAAAGTGTGGCCTTTAAAGCAAGTCTTTGGAAAATGAAGTCTCCCTGGTGTCCTTTCATTCAGCTGTGGCAAGTAGATGTGGAGAATCGTAGCCTAATTCATTCTGCATAGCCTTTTCAAGCTCTTTGCTTGAGTGAATGTCCATAAAGGCTTTGGTTGGCATTCTGCCACCTTCTCATTTCTTCAGCAGTGACCGATCAGTTTGTCCACAGTGACTTGGTCGCCTGGGAAATCAGGGATTGATCTTTCTGAAAGGAAAAGTTCACCGATTTAAGGTCTGGAGTTTTGTTTCTGTGTCCCTGTTTTTAAGCCTAAGGGGCCGCCTCTGTTTCACTGATGTCTAGAGTAAGATATGAATTGCCAACCATGGCAATTATGCTTCAGCCGTCATTCATGTCATTCTTTGCTATTTCATGACCACGTCAGCAGGGAGTGACAGGATGGCAGTGGAAGGAATCTTGCATGATTCCTCTGTGTGGTCAGAGGTTTCCCTTCAGGCCCCCGTCATCAGTTAGCTTTCTTTTCTTTTCTTTTGCTTATTACTTAGGTCCCATCTGCACTATATGTTTTCAGCCATATCATACCACTTTAAACAGTCATCTCTCTCTCCCCCCCCCCAAAAAAAAAGAATCCTGCGAGCTTTATTTTGTTACGGGTGCTGAGAGATGTTAGGAGACATCTATAGATAGAAGTCTCCAAAGAACTCTCAGCATCTTTATACTTCCTAGGATTCTTTGGGGGAAGCCATGACAGCTAAAGTGGTATCATAGATGTGCCCTTTTGTATCCTGCCTTCCCACCAAATGATCCAAAGAGGCAGCTATGTTAGTCTGTTGTGGCAGAAATAACAAACAGAATTGACTATGGGAAAGACCAGGTCTATGGACTAAAGACCAGGTGATCTGATGTGTGAAGTATTGGCCTAAATTGGCAGGATGCACCTGAATGTAGAAAAGAAGAAGAAACTGAGGTGAGAATGAGAAGTATACTTTATGGAGAGTTGCATTTCTGTCTCTTCCTTAATTACTGATACTGGGATCCTCAAATGGGTCCCCATGCTTAAGAAGCTGACAGCCAGAAAATCATTTTGCTATTGATAGGCAGAGATACCTGGGTGTGTATCTTCAGCATTTGTTTCAGATTTCTTGCACCAGATCCTAAACATTTATGCAAATCTGCTACCTGGAGAGAATGCACACATTAAATAAAATCTGTGTAATTTGTGAAGTTGCTCAAGTGTAACAGGCCATATTCAGCTCCCAAGCACTTACATACTTTGTAAACTCTGTCCTATTATATTTTTCAAAAGAAAACTAATTTTTTAGATGTTGTTTACTCATTCTCATGGCAGAATGCCAGTTCATTAGTAAATAGTTTTTGTGTATCAGCGTCTTAAATATTATAAGCTACTGTAGAACCACAACAGAAATAATTAATACAACTAATGCACTAAAAGAATCATGTTCATGTGGAACTAGTGCCAGCTTGCATGAACCTTTTCTATTTCTTATCACAATTCTTGAATGCCTGTGGACTCACTGCTGCTTTTGTTTTGAGGTGATGTAAGATACTATGACCCAGTAAGCAAAGGCTTCCCTAGGAGTGGCTCAGGAGTGGCTCAGGGCTTCCACTAGGCTTGCAGCCTGACAGTGGCAGCCTCCACATGGAGATCTTTTCATAGATGCTGCTCAAGGGACTGCCATGATTTTGCAATAATGGTCAGCCCCCCCCCCCAAGGGCTTGCACAGATTTTAGCAATGGCACATTGGCTGTATTTGGATGATCTATTGACTCTGGAGGCTGAGATATGAATTAGATTTCTGGCCCCTTCCCTCCTCCCTTCATGATTATCTAAGTGAAAAGCAAAAGTCTTTGGTTAACCAACCATTGTTTCCCATAGTCATTCCCAGTTCTAAAACAAGGAGTTCTGATCCCTTGTCACTGCTAACAGCGGAGCATCTGTCACTTTCCTTGGACATGCAGGGACATGTTGCTGGATCGATGTCAATGACCCTGGTAAGATGTATTTTCTGCAGTGACAATGTTTAGAACACCTACAAAATTGCTTTTATTTAGTAATTCTCTATTTCAGAAACAATATATGTACCTCAGTAGGTTTTAAATATGATTACATTTCTGCACAGGTATCAGATGAGCTCAAAGATAGTTTGATTGTTTGTTCTTTGACTAGAGGGACAGTATAATAATCCCTGGTGACTAGCCAGCTTTCTGGCAGTAAGCAGACTCCCGTCAGCTCAAGATACTTTTTATTACAGAAACAAACATCCTGAGCGGGGCTTCGCACTCCTCTATAGATGCTCTAATCTGCTCTCATCTAATCTCAATAGATGCTCTAATCTGAATCCGAGTTCTGCTTCCAACAGGATCTACCCCAGAACCTCGTATGTCTGCCCCTCCCCTTCCGCTCCTCTTTGAGGCATTCCCAACGCCTCCTCCAAGGACTGAGAGTCTGAATCAGCTCTTCTCCACTGACAGTGGATAGTCTCTCTCTTCTCCATTGGCAGCCTGGCCTCTCCTTGGTCATCTTCCAGCCCTCCCTGTGAAGGATGGGCTGCGGGGTTTCAGTTTTGGAAACCAGCCCTTCCCCCTTATCAGAATCGTCAGCCTATGAACGGCTAGCTCTGAAGTTTAACCCTTCTGCCTCCTCAGGAAAGTCAGCCTCTTGTTCACTTTCCGAGGCCAACCCTTCTGCTGGGTCCTGGGGAGCCACGCTCTGATGCACACCAGCCCCATCTCTGAGCGATGTGAGAGTCCAGGGGTTCCTGGCAGTTCCCCAGGGTTTGTGTTCCCTTTTGGAAAGAGACACAGCAGAGACTGTGATGTCTTTAGGGTATATGGTTTATTTATGCATTTATACAACCTGAGCCTGCGAAGGAGGGTCTTGTTTCTCCCATAGTCACAGCCTAGGATTCAAGAAAATGCCAACCCTTTCTGTGCTCCTCTGGCTTCCCAGCTTGCTGCCTTGCTCCTCAGTCACACAGCTCCCAACTCTCAGCTCTGGCATTATTCCTTCTCACTATGTATGAGTGGAGGGAGCGGAGGGGACCACCCATTTGCGTCTCCTTTGGTCTCCGTACCCCCCAGCAGGAGGTTAGGCCAGCTTGATTAGATTATAACACTTCTTGCTGGATCCAGGGACTAGAAGTCTGGAACCCATCTTGATACCCCAAGCCTTGCTTACATTCTAACACCTACTGAATCCAGGGGTTAGAGAGGTCTGGCACCCACAAACTCATAACACTACCCCTTCCCCACAGAACTGAACACCTATCCCCAGATGTGTAAGCAGCAAAATTCAGCTTACCTTTAGAAAAATCACAGACAGACTAGCGGAGGCATTAGAACACATATAATCAAAAACTGATAATAAAACACAATTAGACTTTTAACCCAATCCAGTAACAGCCTATTCCTATCAAGCAAGTGCATCAGATCACTTCAGGCCTTCTTCTTTCTCCTTGGCGCACACTCCCAGTCTGTTCTGTATCCAAACAGTTTACCCAGCCCCCTCCCCCCGCATGCCTGAAGTGATGAGTTCCGTCATATTTAAACCAGGATTATAAGCCTCAGTACCAGCACTGCATTACCCAAATGCCTTGATCCCACTTTCCTTTGTGCCACTGCAGCACAGAGCAGCTTTCAAGCACACACAAGACTTTCAGAGTATTTCCGAAACATCATTAAACAGTTCCCATTGCCACAAACATGCAAAAAGCACAAATCAGTAGCATTTTAAAACCATTGCCAAAACTTGCAGGAAGGATCCCTTGAGTTGGGGGAGGGGACCCCACTCATTTGCTATCTTGCACAGGGCCACTTCCTTTGTTCCTCTTAATAGCCCATCAGCTCACCAGGAAGCTAGCCAGGCTATTCCAGGAATTAGAAGGGGGTGCCAGGCATTACAAGGGTCTCAGCATACAGCCTATTCCCTGTTCCTATACTATCTCCTTCATTCTGCAATAAAAAAAAACAGAGAGAAAAGCAATGCAAGAGAAACATTTACCTTAGACAGAGGGCAGCTGTTCCTAGGGGTATCTGATAAAATGATTGTAAGCCCCCAGCCACACATGGCCAAATGTGGCTGTCTACTTTGGCGTGGTCTCTCTATTACTTGGTGACCCTCCTGTGGTTTTAAATGCTACATGGCTGGAAGAATGGGGTAGGGGATTAGCATTGTCCCCCCCCCCATCTTCTTTTGAGGCCACAGGTCTACAAAGACTTTAGCACCTTGCAATTGTTCTGCCTCCATGCTCTGAAGAGAGTTGGACAACTGGGGAACACTCCTGGGCATCATGGGAGATTAAAACGCAACTAGTCTTAGCAACTTGGTGCTGCTGGCAGCTTTGCTCACGGTCTCTCTGCCTTCTACTGCCAGGAAGGCTCATGGGAGACCACCTGCAGAGAGGCTTGTGAAGGTGCCTGGAATAGGGCCATCTTCAAAGGCATCTTGAGGAGCCTCTCTGCAGATCATCTCCCGTGTGCCTTCCTGGCAGTAGAAGGCAGAGAGACTGTGAGCAAAGCTGCACTGAGTTGCTAAGACTAGTGTGCATATGCAGAAGAGAAGGTTCGCTTATTTGTTTTCCAGCTGTGGGAAAGTCAACCAATTGCAAAGGATTTATTGAACATGGTGACATTTGAAATCAGCTTCTGCTGGACACGTATAGCTTATTCCAAATTGTTGATGAGACATGATTTTAAATTCCTTACCATCCCACCATAGATAATTGTTCAGGGAAGACAACCACTTCTAAGTAAACTGACTCAGTGCTACCCTTTTATTGACTGCTGAGTTAAAAGAGCCAAGCGGAACTTTGGGAGTTGTATGTCTCCCACTGGTTTATTACTGCAATGTTTCTCTTGCTGACCTCGTCATTCTTTGTTCTGTGCTGTGAGCTCTCTTCCATTAAAGCCTCTCCCATGACCTCTCATTTTCTGCCCCAAGTGAGCAGTTCTTCGATTCCATTGCTTCCTCTTTCAGTTTTCTAATTACTGCAGTGTCAAGTAGCATCCTGCGTTGCAGATTGTCAGCTGAGTTGAAGGGACTCAACATCCCCTTTGCACAATAGGGAAATTAATGCAAAGCCTTTGGGGAGTAGAGCCAAGGCCTTTCTTTGACACCACGGGCTTAATTCCTTGTGGTGACAGAAGGCTTTTGATGTGAGGCACCTGCACTGTCTGGCTTTGATCTGAAAACATTCCACACAATTTAGTGCCTTTTGAAAGTAAGGCCCAGTGTATTACTTCAGTGAAATGTTATCACAGCCTTTAAACTGGCGCATATAATTCGTTGGTTGGGTGAATCAGATCTTAATCAGAACTAAGATGCTATTGTACAGCTATGTGTTTTTGTTTCAGATTGTTTTGTGGGGTGGGGGGTTCATATCATAACACCAGATATGAACTAGCTAATGCAAGAGAACAATTTCATATGTATTCCTTATGCCTCTGAGCAGCAGTCTTAAATGCCTTCAATTAGAGTTTCTCAATTGCAGGAAGATGCTCATTATGAAAAGGAAGATTTTGAAAAGGATAATGCTTTCAAAAACATTCAGATGTTTTGTGGTTATCTAGCTTCCATTTTTCAGATATTAGAAGTCTGGCACTTAATTGTAATTTAAAAACATAATCTTGATGGTGATTTTTACAGCATTGTCCTAAACTTGTTATTCATTCCCTTGGATTATATTTATTGGAAATTTGCATTTATCAGCCTTCCCCAATCAAAACACACAACGATGGTGGAATTATCCCACCTAATCATAGCTTAAGAGAGCTGGAAGGGACCCCAGAAGCCATCTAGTTCACCCCCCCATCTGTAATGCAGGATCCTAGTGATTGGCTGCCCAGCTTCTGCTTAAATGCTTCCAGCAAATGTGAGCTCACCACCTCCTGAGAGGTCAAACATCTTGACCATTAAGAGGTTTCTCTAACATTTAGCGAAATTCTTTCTCCCTGCAAGTTCTGCAAAGTCAACTAAGCAAAGAAGAAGAAAGAAGACCAGAACTCCCACCTCCCACTCTACAAAGACAGAGGGACAGGAGAGAGGCCTCAACCTCAAGATCTGAGAGCACATGCAGCTTGGGATGGAGGAGGCCCTGGCATTTAGGTCCCAAGTCATGTAAGAACCAGGGTACTGAACTGGATCCAAATCAGACAGGCTGCTAAGGGAGTTTTTTCTTTTTTAAAAGATTGGGATAATATACCTAGTCATGCACATCAAAATCCTGGTAGCCGTATTCCATAGCGACTGAATCCCCTGTGGCCCCTTTGAGGGCAGGACCATGCAGAACTCCTTGTGGTGATCTGAGTGGGAGCCTCCCAGGGATGGATTGGCCAACCTAGCTCTGCCGAGAAATGGCGGCACCTCTGAAGCATCTGAAACTGGTGCCCCTCAGGCTGCGTGGGTTTCAGCTGACTCTGAGAGTCCGCCTGCCGCATACCTGCTCTTTCAAGGGGATTGCAACCCTGTTCAGTATATAGTATAACTAGGCACATTGATAGCTGTTTTGGAATTCTAAATAGAACCTTGATTTTATTGTTTTTAATACCTGTCTGCTTTTAACAGCATAGAAATAAGGTCACTTCTTATTTTCATCAGTGAAATAAGTCTCTTTGACACTGAATATGCTGTAGATATTCTAAGTGAATTTACGTGATTGATCTTCTGTCATAATGCAGGCATTAAATATGGTCTGTGAATAAACCTAACTCATGGTTTTATCACATTTTGCTGCTGAAGTTTATCAGCTTCAGTCAGCACATATTCCAGGTTATCTTACCCTAGAGAAAGCCTAACTGCTTTTTCATGTATATTGAATTTTTTTTATGTTAGTGTATAAGCAGGCTACTATTTTTGTTACACTAATTGCTAAAACCATTTCAGAATTTATCTCAAAATCCTTCTTTTAGATAGAAATGCCAGGAACATCCTGAAATAAAAAAATTTAAGGTCTTATATATAATAATAAATGTTCATAAATGTACCAAGCAAACACGTACATGAATATATGAGCCACATGTCAGAAGCAGCACAGGAGAACAGCCCTGAGGCCATTTTGACTCCCAAACTGACCAAATGTTTTCTCTGTAGGGTTGAAGGAAAATGGAAAAGCCTCCCCATTGTCTTTTCCTTCACAAATCCTGTCTTAAGGGTATGTCTGTGTATGAATAGGGTGAGCCTGTGACCTGGCTTAGAAACTAAGTATTTATCATTACAAAAGACTGACCAGGCTCCCCAGGGTATCCAATCAAGTAACCATTAACAGGTAACCTGCCAGACAAGAGATAAACAACGCACTCAGATTTCTGTTGTAGACCGCCCTTTCTGTGATGTATGTATGATGTTTCTGGGGGTGGTCTTGGACTCCAGGGTGGGCAGTTTAAAATGTCTATATAAGGGTGGGCACACCTTTGTTCAGGGTCCTCCTCCTTTCCTGCGTGTGAGGGGAGCACCCTGTTGCAACAGTTCAATAAAGATCAGGCTTACTGGCTGCTTTGCTTCTCGGTATTCTCTGGTTGGCCTCTGTTATTTTCTCTGACCGATGGAGAACCTACGAAGGACTCTATACGGGCTCTTGTGTTCCCCATAAGGGAATAAGGGCAGTTTTTTGTTTATTACAATCCATAAGGATTTGTGTCCCAAACAGCTTTGCAAATACTGTATTGTCAACAGACAGCAGACCTACATGGGAGGGAGGAAGAGATGGCAGAATTGTTTGGTGTATTAGCATAATCTCAAAAGCCAATTAAATATGATGTGAATTCATGATAGAGGCAACAATTATTTGGATTGGGGGAAAAGATCTCCGGGTGGGGCTACATAAACACATATAGAGCCCCACTTACACAACCCATCATGCAGGCAACGAAGGCCTGACACCTGTGGCTCACTGCATGTAGAAATGCACATAGAGAAGTGGAAGGGCTGAGAGTGGAAAGGGCACTCAATCAGAGTCGCAGTGTGGGCAGGCTGGGGCGCCATCACCCTGAGGCATTTTTTTGAGGAGGTGCAACCAGGTGTCCCCATGACAGGCTCCCTCGTGGAGGCCTGAGCCACAAGGAGGGAAGCCATGCTGGGGCCTGGCCTTTGGGGCTGGTGCAGAGATGGTGCCTCCTTCACCTCCTGGCCAGTGAAGGGACACCCATGCGCACCCTCCCTCTTGACTGGCCACAAGGGTGCTTGTGTCTGTGTGCATCCAAGAATAGACGAACTGTTCACATATTCAAAATATACTCCCACCTCTCCAGCATGGCTGCAATGTCCAAAGGCATCCCCATTTGTCACCCTTTGCTGTGAGGGATTCTCTTCCTCTGATCTCGTGTTCAGTGGAACTCAAGCATGGAAGAGACATCCTGAGCTACAAGGCCACTTCCGTTAGTTCATCCTTGACCTATCTGACCTTAACAGCAGGCCTCTACCTGACTCAGACAGCACTGATTTATTCTCTGTAAATACAAAAGACGGTTAGTCATGATCTAAAGGATCATGTCAGGACAAGTCAGTCCTCGAGATTTTCATTCAACGCTTTCCTTGGGGAGAAAGGGAATAGAAAGGAGCCAATGTTAACATGGTTTTCTTTGTACCAGATCCCATGTTAACACACATTCCCAATCCTACATGCACTTTTTTATTTCCAGACCCCTCAATAGATTCTCTGAATCTTCTCTTTGAATATTTCTTGATCCCATGGTAGATAACAATCCTTTTTAGAACTTCTGGAAGTTCATTCCAAGGTCATTTCTGTCCTCAGAGATAATAGTAATATCTCTATCATAAACACACCACTTAATTACATCTGTTGGAGCTTTCAACAGTTGCAGCTGAGCAGGTCTGCCACCTCCCCAGAAGTCTGTAAAGTTTCTCTTTCCTAAGGGGAGGAGTTACCTGGAGCAAAGGTGAGCATTCTAAAGAAGGGAAGGGGAGTGAATTAAATTTCTCATCACTGTAAAACATGTTTCATGTGCTTAACTGAATTGGGAGCCTAAGATAAGATTGATGTTGGCCGTGAGTCCTCAGTGGCAAAATTCTGAGTACAAGAGGAGTGTTGTGTGCCAACATGGGGTGGAAGGCCCTAAGTTTAAGGAATGCAAATAACTGTTGATTAATTTACCAGTAGGGACAGTGCTTGTTGGAAAGTTCCTTTTGTCCTTGGTGCAGATTATGAATGGTCTAATGGAAGAGCCATGCTGCAGATGACTGTGAGCAAAGGGACTCAGGTACAGAGAAGGGCATGTGCTTGCAGGTCGCTTAAGTGCCTGTTTGGTAAAGTCACCTGTGGAGTGAGGCTTCTGGGAGACAAGGCAGCAAAGGGCATTTCTGGGATTACAGCAAGGCAGAGCAAGGCCAGAAAAATGATGCTTTGGGGCTGTTTTGAATGATGTTTTGAAATCCAAGAGCAAATGCATGGAGAGCCTGTACGAGTTCCCGTTTCAGATGTTATTCTAGAAATACGGAAAAAGGATGTTTGTTCCTCCTCTACCCCATAGTTACAATGCCCCAAAGTGTCACCAGCCTGCCAGCTATGCTGATAATTTATTTTTGCAGGCACCAATTATCATTTATAAGAGTCCAAATAAATATCAGGATTACCTCTAGTGTCTTGAGAGTAAGAAAATAATAAGATTTTCAGCAATAAGACATAATTTATAAGCAATAGATTCACTTAATAAGCATTTCGGAGAGATCAATAAGCATTTTGGAAAGATCAATATATCTTGAGAAATAATACATAAATTATATGGTTTAATCTTACCTCATCATCCTGGTTGGAGGTTTGTGTTCTGGTGTTTGAGAGAACACATATATTTTCTTCTGTCTGAGGTGGATGGAAGGCTGAGTTCCTCAAAGATTGAAATATTGTCTTTATTGATGGGTAAGGATGTATTGTCAGGAGAGTTAAGATTTTTTCACACATTAATTTTTTCATGAATGGTTAAAATCAAAGACATGATTGAAACAATTATTGCAAAAATGTGCCTGATACATGGGATGGTTACAAATTAATTGACAAATATAATGAGGACTTGCAGTTGCCTCTGGTTAGGGAACAACGTTAATACTCAATGTGTTAAAAAAACCCTTTCTACCCCACCCCCCTTCGCCACCCATCTATGAGAAAAGAAATTAAGTTTAAAAGTTATGAAAAGGGAGAGAAAATTCCAGTGAAATTCTCATGAGTTACAGAGGGGTGGGGTTTTTTGGGTGCATCTTTTGAGGTGATCAAGGGGTGTTTGCAGGTGTCATTCCTTCCACTGCACAAATCATCTCACCAGAGGTCCTCAGTCTGCAGCCCTCCTGAGTGGCAATCTTTCAAGTAAAGCCCAGGGGAACTCTTCCCATGTGACTTTTTCAGAGTGCAGGCAGCCAGGGAAGCTCCAGAACGCTGGAGAAATGTTTACACACAGAGTCATTGGTCACCTCACAGTGATAAGGTAAGCTCAAAGCCCTGCCAAGCACCACAGTTCTTAGAAAGTGTCCCAAGAATGAAGCAGAAAAGTGGAAGCCTCTTTCACAAGGGACAAACACTTTTAAGGAAATGGAGGACCAATTCTGGCACAGCACTAACTAGAAGATTCTTCCATGGCTGGTAGCTCTTCCTGGGCTATCCAGCAAGGAAACCCACAGGCTTTTCTGTACTGCCATGCTAGATGGGCAAGGTCTAGTCAACCGCAGCCCGGCAGATACCACCTGAAGTTCACTAGCAGCATAGCCTGTAGGTGACAGCCATCCCTTCTGTCCTGCACACAATATGTTGTATTTGCTCTTCTTATGGGAGCCCCCCCCCCCACTCCAGCCCAGGTTTGTATTGCTACCTACCTGGTGATTCATGATGTGCTTCCTGATTTCTCGTGGCAGGATCCATGCCACTCTGACTACATTGGAATAAGAAAGTAGGGTGGGTGCAGTGCCCAGGAAGTTTCAGACTGATACAGCCATTCAAGCACTAACTGTACGGTAAAATGGCTGTGTGCTATCTAGGCAGTCCCCTTATAGTTTGGGTTCTTCGATTCAGAGGCATTAAAAAATTTCTTTCCATTTGCAATTAACGTGACCCTTGGCGCTTGTGACAACTGCAGCTTCAGGCAGATGGGGTGACTTCCACACGTGGAGACTGAGGCTCGGGCAATGGTTTGGCATGATACAAAGACGTCACCATCGATATCGTTTGCATTCTCCCTTTTTCATGGTAATAACAAAAAAAGTAAATTACTGAGGCTTTCAAATATGCGCCATAGCCTTCCAAATAAAATGGCAATGTAAGTCTTGTTACTTGCTTATATAGTATCCTTGGAGGGCAAAGTCTTTCAGAATTTACATTGCTTTGTGGATCTGTAAGATGGCAGCATAATCCATCACTCAATAAGCAGAAATCCTCAATAAAACATTTCTCAGCAATGCACTACAATCTTGTTTTGTTTGAATTAGTGTAGGCATACATAACTTATAAAAATGTGTGCGCCAAGCCTTTGTTTATTTTGCAGAAGATAGAAAATAAAATTAGATGTCCAGAACCACCATGTTGTACAATTCTTCTTGGACTGTATTACTTACTTTTGTAGATTAGTGATTCTTATCTTCAAATCATCCTGGGGGCAGGGGATCCCTCTGTGTATAGGAAGCTAGTCTGTCAGGCAGAAGGATTCCAGCTTCAACTTTCCCCAGATTTGCCATTTTCTTTTATAGAATCATAGAATTGTAGATGGAAGGGACCCGAGGGTCATCTAGTCCAGTTCTGGGCACCACAGTTCAAGAAGGACACTGACAAACTGGAACGTGTCCAGAGGAGGGCAACCAAAATGGTCAAAGGCCTGGAAACGATGCCTTATGAGGAACGGCTAAGGGAGCTGGGCATGTTTAGCCTGGAGAAGAGGAGGTTAAGGAGTGATATGATAGCCATGTTCAAATATATAAAAGGATGTCACATAGAGGAGGGAGAACGGTTGTTTTCTGCTGCTCCAGAGAAGCGGACACGGAGCAATGGATCCAAACTACAAGAAAGAAGATTCCACCTAAACATTAGGAAGAACTTCCTGACAGTAAGAGCTGTTTGACAGTGGAATTTGCTGCCAAGGAGTGTGGTGGAGTCTCCTTCTTTGGAGGTCTTTAAGCAGAGACTTGACAACCGTATGTCAGGAGTGCTCTGATGGTGTTTCCTGCTTGGCAGGGGGTTGGACTCGATGGCCCTTGTGGTCTCTTCCAACTCTATGATTCTATGATAGTCCAACCCCCTGCACCTCCTGTTTTGCATGTAAGATAGTGTTTCTCCCCCTCCCCCCAAAAAAAATGATTAAAGGGACAGACAGTGAGGGTGCCCAATGATGTTTTAATACTTTTATTATTTTATTTTGCAGTTTGCAGGAGTATTTTTGTTGTTGTTCTGTTTGTACTTCTGTCTAAGACATAGCAAGCCAGTGGGATGTTGTTCATATCTGACAGAGGTGCTGAATTTATTTTGGATATTTGCATTATGACTTAGGTGCAGAAAGGAGTTAATGATATCTTCAATAGTCCGAAGATGTCTGCCTCTGCATTCGAAGACACACTTGAGACTGATTTCTGAGTGGCTAGGTGAGGGCAAAGTAGCCACCTCACAGCTCACTCTAAAGAACTCTGATCTATCTGTAGCAGAGTAGGAGAAGGAGCCAGAGTTTTAATAAGCATTCTTTTTGAGTGTGCTGTCACTCCTTGACATCAGTTGCCAAGTCCTATTTTTATCCTAGAGACAAGAATGTAGCCCCCCCACTCCCGCCTGAAAACAGCCTTGAGTAAGATACAGCTTGTGACACAGATGAGTCCAAATTAATTCAATTTATTTAAGAGTAATAATTTATAGCAAACTCTGTTCCTGAGTTGCACTCAAGAGGTCATTTCAAAACCAGTTTAGAATTTAGTTGCCAAATAAGTTGGTGGCGTTTGGCCACCAGTTGCAAACAGTGTTAGATATCTAGAAGTTATTTGCGAGGCAATGCCTTACTTCTGAACTGTTCACACTTTGTTTTAAAATGGACTGTGGGAAATGGGAAAGAAGAAGAAGAAGAAGAAGAAGAAGAAGAAGAGGAGTTCGGATTTGATATCCCGCTTTATCACTACCCTAAGGTGTCTCAAAGCGGCTGACATTCTCCTTTCCCTTCCTCCCCCACAACAAACACTCTGTGGGGTGAGTGGGGCTGAGAGACTTCAGAGAAGTGTGATTGGCCCAAGGTCACCCAGCAGCTGCATGTGGAGGAGCGGAGACGCGAACCCGGTTCCCCAGATTACGAGACTACCGCTCTTAACCACTACACCACACTGGCTCTGAAAGGAGATTGTTAGCCACTTTGAGACTCCCTAAGGGGAGTGAAAGGCAGGTTATCAAGTCCAAACTCCTCCTCCTCCTCCTCTTCCTCCTCCTCTCCTTTATGCTTTCCAGGCAGGCCTCTCCCATTGCACACATGTGCGTTTGCGCAAGGGCCCTTTCGAGCTGTCATAGCCATCTGCCAGAATCAGAGAGAACAAAGGGGGTGGGGGCACATTTACCTGACCTGCACCAGAACCAGGGGTGACCCCCAAACCAGCCAGGGAGACAGCTTGCCATAGCTTTTAGCACCTCTCGGGGCGATGAATGTGGCCGTTGTCAAACCAGCATCTGCCCTGAGTCGCCCAGCTGTAACAACTTCATGATGAGTTCTGGCACCCATTTTTCTTGGAAAAAGTCCTGGGTATAGTGATTTGTCTGTTGCTTTCTAGGGCATTTGCAATTGATTTAGAATTTGACCGTGACAGCTGTGTGTACTTAGACATCCATGGCTTATCTGATAAATGCACACATCGCCCGAGGTCACTGCTCATTGGCACAATTTAGTATGTGACTCTGACTTCCAGATCCCATCCGAACTCCACTGACTCTCCTGCCTCACTGGGAGTGTAATTATTTTGCAGGGCACAGCTAGCTCCCTTTTTCAAAAATAAAACAAAACACAATTCTCTTATTTGGAGAGAGGGGAGTCTTTTTTGGAGGGGAGAATAGAAAATCCATCCAATACAGGATTATGCCTGGCTTTTCAGCTTATTTTAGGAAGAGGGAGAAAGCCCAGCACACTAATGTTTAAATTGCCTCTGAGATTTAAGACATTTACCTTCCAGGTTTAAATCTCCAAAAGTTGTGAACATATCTTTGTTAATTCCTAAAGCCTCTTCACAGTAGACATATTGAGGATAACTGTGGGAAAATGTTTTTCAGTGTTTCTACATGAAACACCCACGAGGAAGAATGGAGCGTGATCAGGAAGAAAAGGCAGTGTTTCCTGTTTTGGACTTTTTCAAGAGAAAAATTAGCAGGCTGCACTCAAATCTTTGAAACTGGTCTGAGAGATTTGAACCATTTACAAGTTTTGAAGGGATATATTAAAATAAAACTTTTGTGATGGAGGTGGGAATCAATGTATACTTTCAGATCCCCTTTAAAAACTCCTCATTTGGGTTGATTTTGTAACTTAAATGTGCCTCAAATGTGTGTGTTGGGGGAAAACAGGCAATGGATACTCCCATCAGTCAAGGTTATTCATGGAAATGTTATTTTACTAGCATGTGTTTTCTTAAATAAAGGTGTACTTTCTGAAGGTCCTTTCCGTTACAAAGATCCTTCAGAGAACATGGAGCAGCCAGAGGTGGACTGTTGAATACAAGACATTGGGGCAGATCTGCTGCCGGGAATCCACACTCCCTGCCTTAAAAGCCACTTGCAGGCTCCTGGTTTCTGAGAGATTTGAAGGAAGACAGAGAGATAATAGTAGTAGTAGTAGTAGTAGTAATAATAATAATAATAATAATAATAATAATTTATTTGTACCCTTCCCTCCCCGGCCGGAGCTGGGCTCAGAGTGGCAAACAGCATATAAATAATACCATATGCATAAAAACAAGTAATCAATCGATTAAAATGCACCCCAAAATTAATTCAAATAAGTTAAAGTTAAAGTTAAAACTGAACAAATGACAATCCTCAGGTTAAAATTGAAAACAGTTAATATTCGCCAGAACCAACTGTTTCAACTGATCCTATAAGGACCTGTGAGCGGGCTGGGAAACCTCCTTCGTGCTTGTTCTTATACAAAGAGAAAATGAGTCAGACTGAACCCTGGCCAAAGGCCTGGCAGAATGGCTCCGTCTTACAAGCCCTGCAGAAGGATGTCCTGGTCTCTTGTGAGAGAGTGATCCACCAGGCCGGGGCCACAGCTGAAAAGGCCCTGGCTCTGGTCGAGGCCAGTCTAGTCTCCATGGGGCCCGGGATCTTCAGGGTGGCACTATGTAGATTTCATGTGAGGTTGTGGTTAAGGAAATCATGTCCACAGTTTACCAGGGGCTATTATTACACTTGCTCTACTGTTTCATTTATGACCATGTATAATGTTGAATCATCTCTGGTCATGTAATATGAAAAATGAAGTTATATATATATATATATATATATATGTGTGTGTGTGTGTGTGTGTGTGTGTGTGTGTGTGTGTACCAGTGATTTTGAATACGTCTGCAGTATAAAACAGTGTTGTCTGAAAAGCTGAACCTCTCCTGATAGAGATCATGCTTCAGTCTTTCTGCAGATAGAACTATTTTACCCTTTAACCATCTGCGGACTATCTAAACATGCTCTTAAGACTTTGGGATAATGGCAAGTTTAGAAGTCCACCCTAGCAGCTCGTATAAAAAATATACTTTCTTTATTCCACATTTTTATGTCTACTCCATTTCAGTTTTTGTTTTTGTTTTTTATAAGATATTTATTAGGATTTTTTTTAAATATTACAATAAAAAATGAAAAAGAAAATACAAAATAAAAATGATTAAAAACACTCAGATTTTCCATTGCTTATTTTTCTTTAGCTTGTTTCCTGGACCTCCTCATACCTCCCTTTTTTGTATTCCAGTTCAGTTTGTTGGTTCAGCAAATCCTTACCCTCTTTTTTTATCCTAATCTTTGGTCTTAAAATAGTAACGTTAGATTTTTACCTCTTAACAACCCCTTTTTCATATTCCCTTAAAGCATTACAGCTAGAAACCACTTAATTTCTATCCAACATCGTTCTAACATTGATTAATTTTACAATATTTCTGTAGATAATCTTTGAACTTCTTCCAATCTTCTTCCACCGACTCTTCTCCCTGGTCTCGGATTCTGCCAGTCATTTCTGCCAGTTCCATATAGTCCATCAGCTTCATCTGCCATTCTTCCAGAGTGGGTAGATCTTGTGTCTTCCAATACTTTGCAATGAGTATTCTTGCTGCTGTTGTGGCATACATAAAAAAGGTTCTATCCTTCTTTAGCACCAATTGACCGACTATGCCCAGGAGAAAGGCCTCTGGTTTCTTCAAGAAGGTATATTTAAATACCTTTTTCAGTTCATTATATATCATTTCCCAGAAAGCCTTAATCCTTGGGCACGTCCACCAAAGGTGAAAGAATGTACCTTCAGTTTCTTTACATTTCCAACATTTGTTATCGGGCAAATGATAAATTTTTGCAAGCTTGACTGGGGTCATGTACCACCTGTAAATCATTTTCATAATATTCTCTCTTAGGGCATTACATGCCGTAAACTTCATACCTGTGGTCCATAACTGTTCCCAGTCAGCCATCATTATGTTATGACCAACATCTTGTGCCCATTTAATCATAACAGATTTCACCGTCTCATCCTGAGTATTCCATTTCAACAGCAAGTTATACATCTTTGACAAAATCTTAGTTTTGGGTTCTAATAGTTCTGTTTCTAATTTTGATTTTTCCACCTGGAAACCAATTTTCTTATCCAGATTATATGCCTCCATTATCTGATGATAATGAAGCCAGTCTTGCACTTTGTTTTTTAATTTCTCAAAACTCTGCAATTTCAATCTATCTCCATCTTGTTCCAAAATTTCCCAATATTTTGGCCATTTGGCCTCCATATTGAGCTTTTTCAGAGCTTTTGCTTCCATCGGTGACAGCCACCTTGGGGTTTTATTTTCCAATAAGTCCTTATATCTTATCCAAACATTAAACAATGCTTTCCTGACAATATGGTTTTTAAATGCTTTATGCGCTTTGACCTTATCATACCACAGATATGCATGCCATCCAAATACATTGTTAAAACCTTCTAAATCCAAAATGTCAGTGTTTTCAAGAAGCAACCATTCTTTCAACCAGCAGAAAGCTGCTGATTCATAGTAAAGTTTAAAGTCTGGCAGGGCAAATCCACCTCTTTCCTTTGCATCTGTTAATATTTTAAATTTTATTCTAGGCTTCTTGCCCTGCCAGACAAATTTAGAAATATCTCTCTGCCACCTCTTGAAACAGTCCATTTTGTCCACAATTTGCAATGTTTGAAACAAAAACAACATTCTAGGCAATACATTCATTTTTACCGCAGCAATATGGCCCAGCAGTGAAAGCTTCAAATTTGACCAAATTTCCAAATCTTTTTTCACTTCAGCCCAGCATTTTTCATAGTTGTCTTTAAATAAATTCCCATTTTTTGCTGTCATGTTAATCCCCAAATATTTAACTTTCTTAACCACTGTTAAACCTGTCTCATTCTGAAACCTCTCTCTCTCCATTGGTGTTAAATTTTTCTCTAAAACCTTGGTCTTTAACTTATTCAACTTAAATCCTGCAACTTGACCAAATTCTTGAATCAGTTCTAAAACTCTTTTAGTACTAGATTCTGGCTCCTGTAACGTCAATACTAAGTCATCTGCAAATGCTCTCAGTTTGTACTGTTTGGCTCCGACCTGTATACCTTTAACCAACCGGTCCCTTCTAATCATGTTCAGCAGAACCTCCAGGACCGATATAAAAAGCAATGGGGAAATTGGGCAACCTTGTCTTGTCCCTTTTTCTATCCTAAATTCTTCCGTCACCACATTATTTACAATTAGTTTAGCCTTTTGTTCTGAATAAATTGCACTTATACCGTTTTCAAAACCTTGGCCTACCCCCATCCCCTGTAGGTTCTTCTTCATAAAACTCCAAGAGATATTATCAAAAGCTTTCTCCGCATCCACAAATATCAAAATAGCTTTGGTATTTATGTTCACTTCTAATTTTTCCAAAATATCAATTATATTCCTCAAATTATCGGACAAGTGTCTTCCCGGGAGAAAGCCCGCTTGGTCTTTATGAATCTCTTCCATCAATACTTTTTCAATCTCTTGGCCAAAATGTCTGCAAAAATTTTGTAATCCACATTAAGTAACGATATGGGGCGGTAGTTCTTAAGCTGAGTCTTTTCAGTCTCTGTCTTCGGTATAAGTGTAATGTACGCCTCTTTCCAAGACTCTGGTGCCCTTTTCCCTTCCAATATTTCATTGCAGACTTCCTTTAAAAGTTGTAATAGCCACTCTTTCAAAGATCTATAATATCTAGAAGTCAGCCCATACTCCATTTCAGTTTTTGGGCTTGAAAACAGTAAACTTAAATTAAATTGCAGTCCCCTGGGACAGGGAAGCCGTGGGCGGCAGGGCCCAAAAATGGTAAAATTGCTATAAAGACAGGACGACAGATGTCAACAGGCTTTGGCATAGGCATTGGGTATGAATCCTGAATCAACCAACACATGTGTAGGCTGATTATTTTGCTGGGTCAACCAAGGATACAGACCACCCTATTTATTATTATTATTTTCAATTAATATTTTATTAAGATAGTTTCAGTTATAAGAAATAATGTGAAAAAAGAGAAAATGAATGAAGGGGGGAGTGAAAAATTTTTTACAATTACAATAAAAAGATATAAATTAATACACTAAATATAGTCAGTTGCATTTCCATACATTATTATATAGATATATATGTAATATTATTGCCCTAATATGTGTATGATTATTAATAACCTACTATATTCTGTATAAACTCATTCCAAATGTCAGTATATTTATCCAAACAAAATCTGTGTCTATAAGCAATCTGTTCATACGTTGCAAGTGCTGTCATGTGATTGACCCATTGATTAATGGGAGATACAGTATCTCAGGTGTCTCAGAAGCTGAAAAAGCTGCCGGTCCAAACAGCGCTGTTACCAGATTCTGTGACTGCAGATATTGCCATTGGGCTGCATCTGATAGATGATATTGATCTTTTAGAACAGTATAAGTACAGTGGTACCTCGGGTTACGTACGCTTCAGGTTACAGACTCCGCTAACCCAGCAATAGTACCTCGGGTTAAGAACTTGGCTTCAGGATTAGAACAGAAATCGTGCTCCAGTGGCATGGCGGCAGCGGGAGGCCCCATTAGCTAAAGTGGTGCTTCAGGTTAAGAACAGTTTCAGGTTAAGTACGGACCTCCGGAACGAATTAAGTTCTTAACCCGAGGTACCACTGTATAGAATTCATATTCCTCATCTATCAGTTGTTCCAAAGTCAATACACCTGCTTCCACCTAATTTTTCCACATTACCATCTTTTTTCCAATTTCTAAGATAGGATTTGCCTACAAAATCAGTTTTGCATGTGAAAATGGATCAATTTTGTTTTTATTGGACAATAGTTTCCATCTCTTTCTAACTGACTTAATTGTTTGAAGAGTCTGCTACAGCAGACAAGGTAAGCGGCCATTAGTTACACATTATCAAGGAACCCATATAAGAGTTCCCCAGAGATGCAAAAATATATTCTATTTTTATAACAGGAGGCTTTTCCCCTGAATTATTTGTTCAACAGTTTGTTCGTCTTTTTAAACTGGGGAGTTATTCTAGAGTTACTAACCAGTTAAGCATGGCTTGGGTCTAAACGCACCCTCCCAGCAGCAAAAGTCCTCTTCCAAATACAGAGGGGTTGTCTCTGACATGCCAGAATAGTGTTATATGAGAAAACAGAGATCTGGGTTTTTAAAAAAATAGAATTTAGATACTATAGTCTGCAATGCGCAAACTGTATAAAGTCCAAATAGACTGCAGCCACAATAGATAAAAAGGCCACAACAGAGCACAGCAAGAAATGCTTCTCATGGCTTAGTCTGCACACATAATATCTTAAAGAGTGTGTTCTCACATAGATACCTAGCTTTTCATAGAGATGATCCTTAGACTCCCTGCTCCAGATTACTCTTCCATCTGCAGCATGGCGGTGGATGGGGATCCACAACAGAGAGTTACAGCAGTAGCATCAAAGGTGTGGGACTATTCCACAGCAATTCCTCTCCTTTAGTGCTGGATTTTAGGTGACTGTTTACTTCTGATGGCAGAAACAGACAGAGCCTGGGTTGAACAAGGGTCCCTGTTGTTTAAGGTTAAATACCCATAAAAAGCCCCATGGAGGGAAAACTACTGGTGCAAGAGGTCCACTCACCTTTCCCGGTGGGCGGCGTTGTGGCCAGGCAGCCGGGACTTGGCAGTGATCTGGCCGGGGGAGTGGGGAGTTGGCAGCCCATTCTGTGTTGTCCCAGCCATGTTGCCGGCACTGGGTGGAGCCATGCCCAGTGTGGCCCCGCTGAACAATCAGCGCTGTGAGGGGACGTGGCTGCAGGAGATTTAACTATGGTAGCCAGACGGGACCTTCTCTCTCACCTTTTGCACTGGCTCTCCCAACCCACCCACCCTTTATCCATGCTTTGCTCTGATATGACCTCGCTAAGGACAACGGTCAACTGACATATTGTTGTGGTCGGGTAGGAATTTCCCCCACTTGGCAAATTGGCACCAGCAGTTTGGTTTTCACCTACCTCGTAGCAATTGTCACAACTTTGTGAGGTTAGGCATTGGGTAAGCCTTTGTTTGGATGGAGGGGAGGTTGTAGCCTCTGCCTGCCCCATCTCAGTTAAGGGGAGTGGGTGGCATTGTAGTCTAAACCACTAAGCCTCTTGGGCTTGCTGATCAGAAGGTTGGCAGTTCTCCCCGCGATGGGGTGAGCTCCCATTGCTCTGTCCCAGCTTCTGCCAACCTAGCAGTTCAGAAGCAGTAAGGATATCTTGTTAAAGGGATCTGGGAGTGTGGATTCTGTCAAATGCCCAGACAGAAGTCATGTCACAACCCCAACGTGGACCCCTCAGGATTACTATTTGATGTAATCCCTGTTAGTGGTTTACCCTTAGATGGACTCCCTGCAGACGGGCAGGAGTTGTGATATAGCCTGGCTTTGCCCAATGCATAAGCCAGTCTTTCTCAACCTGTGGGTCCCCAGATGTTATTGAACTACAACTCCCATCACCCCTAGCTAGCAAGGCCACAACTCAGGGATGATGGCAGTTGTAGTCCAACAACATCTGGGGACCCACAGGTTGAGAACCGCTGGCCTAAACCTAACCGCTCACATCTGTAACCAATGAAGTTGTGGCCTATTTGAACCCATAAACCAAAATACTCTTGTCCGTCATGGGGGCCTTGGCACACAACAAACCAAATGGTGCCAGTTCTCTTCCCGGCCTCCTTTAACATTTAAGGACTACAGCAACCACTGCCCCATTCTATTTTATTTTATTTTTAGCAGTTAAATGCCACCTGTTGCAGCACCCTTTCAGAACCACAGTTTGTGTGGCTCACAGCCTCAATGCAGGGGATATCTACATAGCTGCTTCAGTTTGTAAAAACCTAGCAACTTGAACAGGGTTGCTGTGATTGAGCAAACCTCAAGGTGCTCAGCCAGGCCTCCCAAGTGAACTGGACCTGAAACATGAGAATGGGATCTAAGGAAGGAAGATTGCCATCTGCTCACCATATAACAGTCTCAAAATTGATGCTGTATGTGGTCAGGAAGACTTTTGAGAGAGATGTTTTTCCTTGCCGTCCTTCTTTTTGATGGTTATTCAAGTGGTTTGTAGTTTTAAAGGTGAAAGGGACCAGCAGTTGCATAGCTTGTGGTTAGTAGAGGAATGGGAAATTGTTAAGATGTAACTGCAGGATGCCTATAGTTATCTTTTCAACTAAATGCTACAAGGGCCAGTGCACCAAATGCGTTTGCTTATGAGGTTAAACATTCCCTTTCAACATGCCTTTGGAAGATCTCCCTTTAGGGCTTAATTCAAAGTGTGCTGAAGCCTGTGGATGGATTCCTATTGACTTCAATTGACTTTAGATCAGCCCCCAGATGCTAAAATACGACTGCTGCATGACTCAAAGGGAATGGTAATTCAGTGGCTGTGGGGGTGCCATAATGAGGAAGCCAGCTGCGAGAGGATGCAGGCAAGGGAGTTCAGTTTGAAGAGCACATTTTATTACATGCTCAAGATTATGGCCTCCACAAACATGCGAGACAATCTCTGGGGAGTAGAAAAAGCACTTTTGTTTATATTGCTATTATTACAAGTGCATAACATATCCATTCTTGAAGAAAGACTGTGCTCTGATACCCAGAAAATGCAGTTTTGAACTGTTAGGGGGAGGAACCTAGAGCATCTTCATTAACCTTATCAAGATCATTTGGTCTTCGTCCAAAGTGTCTTGCATGTTTTGCTCCAAGAGGACCTTCTGGGTTCACTTTTAATTTCACTATTGGTGAAATCTGGGATGCACAGAATCAATTGAGAATTTTCACTAGCCTCATAGAAACACTACATATCCATTGAAATCTTCAATATATTTTGCTTAGGGCGAGACCCCCAAATTTACTGTACACTTTCTTTAGCCAAAATTTGTGCAGCAACACTACCGAAAAAATGTTTTAATCAAAACAATATGCAAAAATCTAAATACCCCATTTATTGAGTGCATAACAACAAGAACTGCTTCCATATGGTACAACCCTTCTATTCTGAGGAACGTGAAGGAACTGAATAGATGGAACTGGTCGCATGGGATTTCCACACCAAACAACACTCTGATCAGGCAAGAAAGCCTCACGTGATCAGGTTGTTAGACTACTCACATACAGTGCCCAGTGCTGTGCAATTGCCCTTTGTGTATATGGATGCATGAGCAAGTGTAAAGCAGACCAGAGTTTCGCCTTTTGAAAACACTGAAAGTACCAAATGTTACTTCCCCTTGGAGTGATTGCTGCAGCCAGATTCTGCAGTGGCTTCCCCAAACAATTAGAAAATGGGGTTGTTCTCAGAGGAAATGTGGGTATTATTAGATTTAAAAGGGGATCTGTTATGTCTCCTGGTGGTTATGAGTTTAGAAACAAGAAATATGGGTTTACAAGGAGGCTTTGTTGCGTCTCCAGCATGGTGACCTTTTCTGCTGGGTTTATTGTCTTTTCCAAGGTTTTTAATGAACACTGGGATGTTGGTTATTTTGTGAGACAAATTGAAAAAGTCCCCTGTGCCCTGTTTTGATTCGACTACATGCCGTATGTTACAAGTGGCTAATTTGAGTTTTGCATTTATTTATGAACTAATTCCTACACTCGAATGTATAATTCATAAGATGATGTGTGGATTGATAGTGTTGGCTGCTCTTTCCAGACAAGGACTGTTTCTTACAAGGGGTTTATCACTGCAAGTTTTTCTCCTTCTCTCTTTTTGCTTGCTGTGAAGCAGGCTGCATGCAGTGGACTTCAACATATCCTTGGACTTTGCTGTATGGCCCTGAAACTATGGGTGGATATATTTTATTGCTGGATTCATGTTTTATTTATGTGACTACATAAAGGCTCAAACTCTGAACTCATTTGGGAAATAAAGGCAGGGCAGTCATCGCCATCCCAGAGATATTCAGACCCTGCAAATTGTTATGGTGTAGTAGCTAAAAGTGACCAATGAGTCGTTATGTTCTGGGTTCAAGTTTAACCTCAGCTAATAATTCAGAAAATGTCACTCCATGGTCCCCATTTGCAATATGGCAATAATAATAATCACGATAGCTGACATCCCTTAAAGAAATGATTTAAGAATTACTGAGAATTACTACACTCCAAAGACTTGAAATGTGGCATGTAAATGTTTGGGAGGTTTTGAGAAAGGACATTTTAAAGACTTGGAATATTTAAAATGATAGCAACTTGAGTGCAGATAAGCCAATGACATAAGAACCATAAATGCTACATTTTAGAGAAATTCTTCTCTGCCCTCAGCTCTTTTTTTAGGGGGGATTATAATTTGATAAATAAGTAATACACAGGTTTTAAGAATCATTTGACGTAAGAAAACCTCACTCATTATTTATTATATGTAAGTATAATCTAGGATTTACAAACTCTAATTCTGGCACTCAGCCCAAAAAGGGTTAATCACCCATACCTTCCACTATACCCAATTTATCATCATCATCATCATCATCTGCTGTGTACCCATGACATGCAAACATAGCCCAGGTGTTGCAAAGGTGAATAATCTTTTAAAATTTATGGCATGGAGCATTCAGACAGGTAGTTGCTTTTTGGAGGTCTTCTCACAGTGGTCGTTATTTAAACTAGACCTATAGGTTGGAGGAATATTTATCCATAGGTCATCCGGTCTACTGATGGTGTGCAGAATACAGTCTGATTGCTCTGTAACCTTCCTGGGGGGGGGGGGGGGTAGGGATGTGATGGCCAGTGGTTAGTCTCTCTGTATTTTTCTGCAAGCAGTCTAGGGCTGGAACCAGCAACTGAGGGCCACAGGTGGAATGTTATGTTGAAGCTAAGGAAACCATATTATTGTTTGAGAATGGACTGTTAAAAAACAACAACCATGCTCACCTGTTAGTAAGAAAGAAGAAAACCTAACATTAAATAATATATTGAGATAATGTTCCTTTTCACATTATTTTAGTAACTTATAGCTGGGCAAAAATGGTTTCAGGATACGTGTTACATTTTTGCATGCTCCAAATATATGTGCCTTTGTTTTAGATGGCCTCAGTAATGCATAACTGCTCAGAAACCATTTTATTTATCTTTTCCCTTTAGGGGCTGATGTTATCAATTTTGATGGCCACGTTGTATTACCGTACAGATTTGGTCACAAGAAGAAAACACTGAAAACGTTGAAAGATGTGATCACTTTGAAATTTAAAACCTCTGAAAGTGAAGGTGTAATCTTCCATGGGGAAGGCCAGCAAGGAGACTATATCACCTTGGAACTGAAAAAAGCCAAACTGGTGCTTAATTTAAATTTAGGTAGGATTCAGGGTCTTGGTTTTTTGTTTTAAAAATGCATATTAATTTGCTTTGCATTAATTTGATTGACATATACAGCACTGGGCTTTATCCTTTTCTTCATCTTTGTTTTCTGTTTCCCATGCTTCTCTGAAAGAAGAGTTGAAATCGGTTGCTGGTAGCAGTGCAGCCTCTTATACATTTGGAATGAATATGGATTGGTTTCCAAAGCTTTAGTATTTTGTGCTAACCCTTCTCCTCCCAAGACCATCAAAACTCTGACACCAGAAAAAAGGTGCATCCTGTGGACTGTCGATAGACTTCATCTCGGACTCTGGCTCTCTGTCCCTGGCCATGTTTTTGTCATGGATTCTCCTTCATATCACAAGCCTTGAGTCCTGACTCTCTGAACTGTCCTATGAACTGGGATCAACAGAAACAATGCCCTTGTTATGCAAGTAAGGGTTCTGTAGGGAGAATATGTGGCCTAGTGGCTAACATCAGATGGGAAGGGTATGAATGATAAAATTATTAAAGACATAATGTGAATGAGATGCCTTAAATGAGCTCTTGCATAATTCTGGCACAACAATCTTCAGATTGTAATTGTTTTTGTCCTGTGAATGGAGTTTCTCTCCCTCTTTGTCTCATTTACACTCATAAGCCTGCCTTCCAGGCAAGTAACATCATTTCCATACGCAAGTGGGGAACCAAAGCTTCAAGAGAATGACTTGCCCAGGGCCATTCTGTGTGAATCCACAGAGCTGAGCTGGGACTGAACACTCTGGAACCAACTCACTAGCCAGGTTTATACATTATGGTCTGAAACAATCTGGCACCGCATGCCGGGGGGGGGGTTAAACTTGAGTCTTCCCTGTTCTTGTCTCTCATTGTCCACTACACCTTTTCCCCCCCTTTTCTTGGCATAAAGATCAGCCATTTTTGTTTCATGCAAATGAGAATAGCATAGCTTTACCCTGCCCAGTTTCTGATGAATGACTCTGAAATTCTCCTCATTTCCATTTCCTTTCCCATATATTTTCTTAGTTCAGTCAGGTAGTTATCAGGATTATAAATGACATCTCTTACATATGTACTTAGCTGAGGTGAGAATATATACTCTCAGGTCAGAAATGGGGTTAAGAAGGTTCTACTGGGAAGAGAAATTAGAAACCAAGAATCCTTTAACACAACACTTGGATCAAATTGCAGTCAAAACATGAAAAAATTCAGAAGGTGACTGTGCCACATGTCTCAGGCTTGATTTACTGCTATGTTGTTCTTTATTGCAGTTGAAAATCTTTCATTGCTTGACTTCAGTGGCTAGCTCTTGCCTGATAACAGCATAACTTGAAAAACTCAAGGATTCCTATTGGGGACAGAGCTCTCTGTGGCTCTTAGTCATGATAGCCAGGTGGAAGAATCTCCATGTCCAGAGGCAGTACACCTTCGCAGGCCCTGGGGGAAGCCATAGCGCTTAGTGGCATGCTCTTATTGGGAACTTCCAGGAGTGTTTGCTTGGCTACTGAGAGAAGCAGAACACTGGATCCATCAAGGCAGTTCTCAAGCTCTTACAGGCTGTGGGAGAATTCTGTGGTATCTCAGAAGGTGGACAAACAGACATCACGTTCCAAAATACTAAGCAGATGTTCTCATGCTTTTATGATCTTGCATGCAAAACATACGCTCTACCACTGACCTACAGACCTTCCATTTATTGAATCTAGTGTTTCACCACAACTCTGCATGAAAAGTACCTCAGTATTTGCTGTGATCTTATCTGTTACTTTGTCATAAGCACTGCTGTTACTGCTTTTTAGCCACACTTCTTTAGAGCTGGACTGGCCAACATGATGTCCTCAAGATGTTGTTGGACTCCCACCAGCCCTAGCCAGTGTTGCCCACGGGCATTGAAATTCAACACCTAGAGGACAACATTTGGGTCTTTTAGAGCTTATTCAGACTGTTCGTTTATTCAGACTTTTTGTGTTCCCTTAGTCACATCCCAAGTGGTTCGTTATACATGATCTAAGGTGCTACTGGAAGGAATTTTTTTAAAAAATTTTGTTTCAACTATGGCAGAGCAACACGGCTACCTACCTGTAACTAGAAAAAAATGCTACCTTACAAAGAATATAGTATTTGTGAATGACAGGGCATTTTATTATAGTAGCATAGCAGCAACAGTGGCATGACAACTCACTACGTGGCCTTACATTTGAGGTATTCAATATTTCCTGCCCTCTTCTTCCTCTCAGGTAGCAACCAATATGGGTCAATTTATGGCCATACGTCTGTGACAACAGGTAGCCTCTTGGATGACCACCACTGGCATTCTGTAGTGATAGAGCGCCATGGGAGGAACATCAACCTCACGCTTGATAGGCATCTGCAGCATTTCCGGATCAATGGGGAATTTGATTACCTGGATTTGGACTATGAGGTAAACAATTACACCCCTTACTCTCCGTACAAATAAACAAATGACGGCCATCAGTATTCATTAAAATACTTTGAAAATGGTCAAGTGATTTGTGCCTCTTGTGCAGTTCAAAAGCCCATCATTTAATCTAGCGTTGGTTATCTCTCAATTCTCCCTTATTACTTAGCCCTGTTCTGCTATTACCACAAAGATGGCAAAAATGGCTTGGGGCATTTCTGTCTGTCGAAGCCCATTGCAACATCAGAGCAGATCAGTCGGTGCCATTGTGAGACACAACATCAGGGAAGATGTCGTCGCTCAGTGGTGGAGCATCTGCAGGTCCAAATTTCAGTCCCTGGCATCTCTCATTGTAAAAGAATCAGATAGTAGTTGATGGGGTAAACTTCTGCATGAGACCGCGGGGAGTTACTGTCAGTCAGAGTACAGTGTGCTGGGGTAGACTGACAAGTAGGCTAGAACATATGAAGAGCCCTGCTGGAACCAACCCCAGGTGCAGCTGGCCTGGCATCCTGTCTTCACAGTGGCCAGCCAGGTGCCTACGGAAAGCCTACAAGCAAACCCTTCAACTGGCATCCAGATGTCATCACACAGCCATCATGGTCATAGTTACAATAAATGTATCCTCCTTCAATTTGCCTTATCCCTTTGTAACATTGTCAAAGTTGGTAGCCCTGATTTAGTATAGGGCAGCTTCCTATGGCATGCAAAGAGGTCAAGGAGGAATCATAGAGTTGGAAGGAACCACATGGGTAATCTAGTCCAACCCCCTGCAATGCAGCAATCTTTTGCCCAACTTGGGACTTGAACCCATAACCCTCAGATTCAAAGTCACTTGCTCTTCTGACTGAGCCCTTCTGCATTTTTGAGCCCTTCTACCGGTTGGAACCACCACTCTAGACTGAACAGTCCCTGGAAGATTCCATCATCTTAGCTTCCACTCCACATGCCACTAGTTCTCCAAACCTCCTCACATGCTGCCTGCCTCCATTCTGTAAGCCGACATATTCCTGTCGGGGGATTCTACAGGCTGGCACCCTGGTTCCATAACCGAGCCTTTGACGTTGCCTTCCATTTCCCCCTGGTGCTCTCTCCTGCTCTAGGGCACTTCGCTCCCCCTGCCCCAGAAGTCTTTGATGGTTGTGCTCCTAATGGAAAGGGAAAGGAAGGTAGCTTAGGAGTGCAATAGCAAGCATTTGTTCTAGTAAGGCTGTGTTTAGAAAAGAACTCACTCTGAAACTCACCTACAGGTGGTATCTAACACCAAGAAAACTAGCGCTAATATGCCCAGGAACCTCACCAAAATGCTGGAGAGGGCCACCTCCACAGGCACATACCCCCACATGTGGTGGGAGTGCCCCAAAATCCAACTATTATGGACAACAGCCATGTGAGAAATATGTAAAATAACTAAGCAAGTATTAGGCATCACCCTAGAATTGGCCCTACTAAACATCTTCCAAGACAACAATGCCCATTTACGCCACAAAGCACTCATAACCCACCTACTTTCAGCAGCCAGAAACATCATAACCAGACACTGGAGAGACCTGTCAGAAGTAAGCATGGACCAATGGTACCAAATAGTATGGGAAACAGCCTTACTAGAAAAATTAACCAATAAACTGAAACTGACACAGGGACAAACAGAAGAAGACACCTTCACCCCGGTATGGCTCCCCTTTATCACGTACACAGCCCAACAAGACAATGACAATAATCCACCAACAGTATATAAATCAATATGGCTAACCTGATCCGAAACACCCACCCACCCCACTCACACACGAAAACAAAGATCACCACAGCCAATCACAAACAAACAACCACACCCTAGGCCAACCCCAACCTCTCTCACCACCAAAGGAACACAAGTGAACAGCAGAGAACCTGCACGAGCAACGCTGACACCAAACCCTACATACATTAAGCAATACAGAAATATCGCCACCCGACCCCACCCATCTTTCCCCCCTCCACCCCTTTTCTTCCTAATGTCTCAACAAATGAAACTGATTTGTAAAAATGTTACATGGAAAAAAACAAGAGACATTACATATACTTCTGTAAAACAAGAAAATCTTTAAGAAAAAAAAAAGAATATTCAGTTCAATCTAAGCGGCATACCCCTTCTTGGGCAAAGATTATTTGGGTACCCTTTGAAACCCTGCCTGCCTACCACACCATTGTAAAGGAATAGCTTCTGGCCCCAGAAAGCCCAATAAGGCTCCAGGCCTTAAGTTTGACAATCCACTTATATTTTTTATTTTGGAATTAGAATATAATTAGAATGTCATGCATTGTATTGAGTTTGTTCATCTTTCTAAATCAGGGATGGCTACTTCCTGGCCTAGGGGTCTAATATACCACCAGATATATTCACTGCCCCACCCAAGAGGTTTTTGCTGCAGAAGATATAGTACTGAGGTGAATGGGAAAGCTTACAAATGCACCCTCCCCAGTCATCAAGTTGATCTTTGGATGAGTAGGGAGGGGTGGTGTGTGTGTGTGTGTGGGTGTGTGTGTGTGTGTGTGTGTGTATATGCGCGCGCACACACACACATACTCACGTGCAGGAGTTTGGCTACACCCACTATTGGGTTGCTTCCCAGAACGAATGTGACCCTCAAGCAAAAAAAAGGGGGGGAGGTGCCTCCACATTCTAAATAGTGTGTTGAATGTGCCCAACCTTTTAGACGTTTAGATTCTCTAGTCAACTTTACCTAGAATATTTAGATAATATCTGAGCTTGGCTCCAGTCTATTTCCAATGGAAATTATAGTAATTGGTAGGATGTGTAAAGCTTTGCACAAGAACCCTCCCTGGTGGCTCCCAGTTGTATCACCCTGCTGATCAAGAAATTGGTGGAGCTGCTGCAGTTGCTTGCTGTAGGCAAGAGAACTCCACATCACAGCTCATGGACCATCACTAGATCAAATAATATGTTCATAGGCTTGTTGTTGATTCATCTAGTTAAGTCTTCACAAATATGGGCAGCAGATAATAATAAAATCAATTCTGCACAGGTTTGTGTCACTTAACATTACCTGTGGTTCTGTGTTTAAAACTAAACTTGTTAATAAAATGCAAGAGTTAATGGATTGTCACTCTATTTTGAAATGTTTCATGCTTCTTTTCAAAGATCACGTTTGGTGGCATGCCATTTTCTGGGAAACCAAGTTCAAACAGTAGAAAGAATTTCAAAGGTTGCATGGAGAGCATAATATATAATACCAATAATATCACAGATATGGCCAGGAGGAAGAAATTGGAGCCTTCTAATGTGGTGAGTACATCATTTTGTGATCATCTAAATTGAAACACAGCAGTTTATTTATATTTTTGTACGAATTTACAGCTCCCTTTGTATTACTGCCAGATTTCTTGAAATAACTCAGTGCACATGTGAAGGATTATGAGCTGCTTTAAAAGCAAATTCCATTCATTCCTTTAAATACAAACTAGACCCTTGAAATGTCTTCCTATCATGCAGGGAATTTTCTAGTGGCCTGAATGAATGCTGTTAAGCCTCACAGTGGAAAAAGCCACTTCTAATAACATGTTTGTGCTTTTAAGAAGCTTAGGCAAAAGGAAACAAGCAACACATAATTCGCGCCCCCCCCCCCCCCATTGACCAATAATTTGAGATGTTATTCCAAATTTCAGTCTGGTATCTGAGTTTAGGAACTAACATCTTTTTTGAGGGGCACTTTTAAGCTATTTACATAATGACCCTTAACCAGCATTCTTCTCATAGTTGCCTATTATGGGCACCAATTTTACATGCTACCTTTTACCAGCTGCATGGTTGCTCTCATGCCACACTGGGCAATGTCAGGGGCTGACTTTGGTCTTTCAAATTTCCGTGGCACCTTGTGCAAGCCCAGAATTTGTTCCCGACGCCTCTTGCCCTCCGTTCTGCTCAATTCACTACGTCATAGTTGTGTCGCCCCACAGCACCCCCTGGGCTTGGTGCCCAGTAGGGCAGAACCAGCCACACTGCCCTAAATCCACCTCTGGCAATGTTCGTATCTTCCTCTAAACTCCCCTGGAGGTGGTTGACTGTTATGTCCGGAGCTGCTAGGCAACTTCGGTATAGGAATTATGGCATAATGCCATTCGCTGCAGATCCGCTCTTAAAAGGTTAATAACCTAGAGCAAGTGACTCGATTCTCCATTAGGTGCTAAGTCCATGGAAATGGATGTAGAATACAATTTCTCCCTGTTACTGGTGGTATTTCATTTTCTTCTTATTTAACTCCACAGCAAGACCTGTATAAGCAGTGTTAGTAATGCATGAGTGCTTCAGCAAGAAACTATTGTGAGCTGGTATAATTTGAGGGCTCACTTGATATCCAGTGCAAAGAGAGGCTATAAAAATTGCCATCTCCTTTGTTTCAAGCTGAGTTACTTCCATTGCCTTACCTCTAGGAAAACAAGATCAATTTTCTTCTAATTAAATCAGCATAGATTTTCATTTCTCCCCTCTCGCTCTCTTTGTTGCTGTTATTGCCCCATGGGATTAGTTTAGCATTAAAAAAAAGATTACGATGATATGCATTCTTTGAAGAATCTGAAATGAAATGCTGCATTTTTTTTGGCTCCAAATATAGGATGGCCATGTAGGCCTCACCACAGCTCCACATACAATTTGCATATGCTGGTAAATATATATAGATACAAATTTAGAAACAACTGCCGTAAGGCTCACCATAGTCTGGAAGACTGTGACCATGCAACCTGTGCTCCCATTCAGTCTTGATGTTCAGATGGGCAACATCAAGGTTCCTCCCCACCACTCAAATGATGCTTTATCTTTAAACTGGATTTGGCCAAGACAGCCCTCCAGATATAGGATGCCTTCAAATAGAGGACTGCCTCCTATGAAGGAAGACCCATGGGCACCCTGTCCAAATGCATGCTATGTCCAGAAGAGAGCGCAATGGAGATGCTTCCTCTAACCCATCACCCATCATGTATTAAAAAGAATGGCATGACCTGCTCATGGCATTGCATCTTTGGCCACAACGTCCACAGCATTAGCTGCAACACTAAACTCAGGGATGAATATGTGTGAACAGTTTTCCTAGAACTTCCTAATGCATGCCTGTACTCCATCCATGACTATTCCTCTCCACTTTCACCACAGGTTTTTTTTTTAACTGAGCAAGAGCACACTCCTTCAAAAATGTCCTGACACCTTCTTGCATAAAGAATGAAGCGGGCAGGTCAGCCCTGAGGGATCTTCTTTTTAAAATAAAAAATAAAAAACCCTTCCATTATTTCATTGTTTGTAAAATGGGAATAAATTTCATTTCCTTTCCACATTTCTCTGTACCTTATCATGGGTACCTGGCTTATAACTTTGAAAGAGGCATGTGTAGATCCAATAGTGTAGACAGATTTTCTGCTCATATTAATTTTTCCAATTTTCTGTAAGAGGAAGGAGGACCATGATGGACAGAGCAGAGGAAAGAAGCAAAATTAAGGCAAGAGGCAGCTATGCTACAGAGGGCAAGGAATGGGCTGGGAATGAGAAAATAAAAGGAGATGATTCAGGGGGCTATGCTTATTAATGTTGGGTGTATTGGTGGAATTTTCTGGATCATCGTAGAAATGCTAACTAGATGTGGGCTCCTACTGACTCCTGCTGCTTTCAGCCTACATTAGTCCTCGTCCATGCGCATGGGGGGGGAACAGGGGTAGGGAACATTATGGCCTTGTGGGACTACCTACCTGCCAATCTTCTGACATCATAATGGTTTCAGATCAGGGGTGTAGAAGGGGAGGCGGTGGGGGCAGTCTGCCCCAGGTGTCATCCCTGAGGGGGGTGACAAAAAGGCACATCATGGGGGGCTTGCCCCGCCCCCGCACAGCTCTCTCCCCCCCCCCCCGGGTGCACAGTGCGGCTGCCGCTCCGGGCTTCCATGCAGCTAACTCTGCCGGGTTGATCCCATCTGCCCCTCAAAGCTGGCCCATGGGGGTGAGAGTGACCACGCAGGACTGGACTCCCCACACAACAGCTGATGCGCAGAGTTCACTCCTGCGTTGTGGAACGGTTGAGCGTGCCTGCCAGCTGCCCTTTGGGAACTAGCTTGCGCCCCCGAATCAAGCAAGATTGACCTCCCTGTGCACCATTTGATGCGCAGGGAGTTCAATCTTGCTTTCCAGTTGCAGGATCTATGCGCACCGCTACTTGTTCCACACCTGATATCACATGTGGCATCAGGGATTGGGCCAGTGTTTGTGGTTTTGGGAGAACGTCCTTGTGGGCCAAATGGGAAGGTCCTGGTGGGCCAAATTAGCCACAGGTCAGAAGTTCCCCACCCTTACGTACAGGACTGTTGCAAAGATTGCAAATAAATACTGCATGTGTAGCACTCTGAACGCTTGAAATTGCCAAGCACACACACACACATATGCAGTATATGTTATTTTACTTTGCATTCCAAGGTTGTTACTAAATTTTGAAATTAGGAGCAAGTTTAGATTTCTTGCGCACAAGGAATCCTGTGGGAAGTGAGCAGAGTTTATACATTTCTCAAGGATGTTCAGTAACTTTCATACATCCCTCAGTAGATCAACATGCTCTCTTTTGAACATTGTTTTACTGCATTCAGGAGGAAATTTTAAGGTCTCTAAAAACTGGGGTTTTTTAGAAATATGTCACTTTTCTCATGTTGTTTTTGTTTTTGTGTGTCTGTGTGTTACTGTTTTTGCTTCTGTTTTTGTTTTTAATAGGGGAATTTAAGCTTCTCATGCGTGGAGCCCCATACAGTGCCCGTCTTTTTCAATGCTACCAGTTTCCTGGAAGTGCCTGGTCGTCCAAATCAGGACATGTTTTCAGTCAGCTTTCAATTTCGGACTTGGAATCCCAATGGACTTCTGCTGTTCAGCAATTTTGCTGAAGGACTGGGCACCATAGAGATTGACCTAATAGAAGGCAAAGTCAGTGTCCATATCAATGTCACTGGAGTCAAGAAAAGTCAAATAGACATATCTTCAGGTGAGCTCCATAAACTCAAGATACTGGTTTTCTTAAATTCCAGTCATTTTGCTTTTGCAATTTGGAACTATTTCTCCATGTGGATTTGTGCTGTAAGGAGACACTGCTTTGGTTGTGGTGGACAAACTGCAATTTTGCATTTGAATAAACGGGGGTTTTTTGTCTATAAGATGCCCCCATGTATAAGACACCCCCTATTTTGGGGGACTCTGATTTAAGAAAATAGGGGGAGATGGCCCCGTGTATAAGACACCCCCTAATTTTTGACATTTTTTAAAAGGGAAAAAACCGTGTCTTATACACGGAAAAATACGGTAGCTGGTCGCAAAGGCCTCAGTGCTACCGCAGTTGGAAGAAAACTGCCAGGAGAATTCTGAAGTGGATGCATTATTTACTAAAATTGGAATTCATATGTTACCTGAATTTAGTATCCTGTATCAGAAACACTGCAGTGCAGCACAGAAGAGGAGAGATAGAAATTGATTCCTCCCTGGCCCTAGAGGGGTGTGTGAGTTTGTGTGCTTTATATGTTATTCTGAAGTGAGAAGCTTCAGGGCAAGAGCAATT